GCGATTGCATCATCTGCCGTGACTCCTTCTGTTCCAGCGGACAGAGACTGGAGCTGCTTTTCAATGGATGTTCTCTGCTCTGCATGAAGCCTGCAAATAAACATTCATATACATAGTTAATGCAAAAGGTCAATCTTCATAAACCCTTAGGAATTATCTGAAGACATGCTTTAATTTGTTCTAAAATACGATCTGACTTGCATCCATAAAGTCCTAGTAATTGATTGGCAGTAGTATATTTAATCAGTGCTTGATATGGAAAAAAAAAAACATGTCGGTAGTCCAGGGAGGTGGGGTGTTTGAGTGTCCTCTCTCGGTTGAAATCATGCTCATTGGGGGCAACATGTGACAAGTGCCGGTACGGAGGAAAACATGAGCGTATACATACACATTCACACACATGTGAATATCATGAAACAGCAATTACATTCTATTGTAGATTTAATTGTCGTATTTCATAGTAGTTTTTTTACATGCAAATATTAATGCCGCTGTTATGTTTCATTGCTTAAATTGTGATTATACTTTAAACTGACAATTAGGGGGTTTACACAACACCATTTTCCACTAAAAACGGAAAACGTAAGCATTTTGGCCATTCATTTACACCAAAATGTCATTTTGGGGGCCTAAAAAAACACTTATGCAAAGTGCACGTTTTTGAAAACAATACAGTTATCATCTCCGTGTAAATTTAAAAAAAAAAAGTGGATCATATTGATGCCATCTTGATTGATTGTATTCACCACTCTGTAGAAGTCATGCACGTACATTTTATTTACAAAGTGACATCGCCTTGGCCTGGCATGTATAATACAGTGATTTTAGTAGTTTTCGCAGATCTGTGTGAACGGAGATCTTTTTTTGACGTTGTCATCTGTGCACCAAGCGAAAATATTTTTTAAAAACGTTTACATTTTTAGTACATTGCTTTAGTGTAATTGTACCCTCAAATTATGGTGGTAGGCACAAAAGTTTGGTAACACTTTACAATAAGTTTCATTAGTTAACAACCTTAGTTGAATTCCATGAACTAAGAATGAACAATACTTCTACAACAATTAATAATATTAATTTCATCTTTTACTAATACACTATTAAAATCAAAGGTTGTATTGTTAACATTAGTTAATGCACTGTGAACTAACATGAACAATGACAGCTGTGTTTTTATTCCTAACATTAACAAAGAATTAACATTCTTTAACAAATGTATTGTTAGTTCAAGTTAGTTAATACATTAAATAATGATAACTAATGAATCTTAATGTAAAGTGTTACCAATAGTTTTATAGACTGAGAATTACAGCAAAACTTTCTCCCAACAACAAAGTGAATTTGTGTAAAGGGTTTCCTGTGATTACCAGAACCACCTCATCTTGCACAACAGAAGCTGTTAGCACTGACTGACTTAGAAATCAGCAGGAGATCCATTTGCAGCCGCTCTTACCGCTCATTTTCTTTAACCACCTGCTCCAGGCTTGCTTTGACGTCTGTCATCTGCCTCTGAGTGTTTGACAGGGAGAAACAAGTGTGTGCGTGAGTGGTGGGAGGAGGGTGATTGAGAGTTTGAGAGAAAGTGTACTCTTGAATGGCAAACTTATTATAAGACAAATTCACTTGATTTGGGATTAAACTGCAATTTATAGCTGACAGCATGAAATCAGCCTCATCAAGCCCTGACAGTACAATAACTCACTGTAAAGCAAGCATTCGTGTGGTGTGAGCATTTGCATAGGGTAGTATAGTGTAAGTCTTCAAGTGTACCTGATAGAACTTGAGCTGCATCTCCATCTGCTGTATGTGTCTGTCATATTCTTCTATTAGAGGAGCCATTAGACTGAAAACACATGGTATTGGATTACATTAAAGTACTATATATATAGATAATAATTTAAATTTATGATCACAATAAACAAAGCTTGCCTTTTTAGAAACAGTGTATACACACACACACACACACACACACACATACATACATACATACGCAGTGGTAAATTTTTTCAAGATATTGAAAGCATATTATGTAGTTGTGCTATGAGTCAACTGTTTGTGATTCAATTGTGTAAACTTGATTTTTGGCCAGGCTGTCATTCAAAGAAATCATACACACGTGTAAAAAAACAAGGAGAACCAATAAAATATTAATAACTGATTATGTAGTCCATGTTTGCTTTTTCCTGTGAGCTTTTTGTTTTTTCTATGCATTTTTTTTGCCTAATAAAATAAAACATGCAGCTGTTGTTTGCATTTTTTGCCAAATTATTTTGTCAAATAAATATAATATATTGACATTAACCAAGTTTAGTGTTTTGTTATTCCCTCCTACTTAAAATATTAAAAATATTTATAATATAAATGAATCATACTTGGATGGTTTAATTGAACTTGTAAGATTTATAAACAACATCCTTTTAAAATTGCAAATTAAATGCTACATTTTATGTAATTTTCTAAAGAAAATTGGAATGGTGCTTGTCTTTGCAAAAGCTGCCACCACAATAAAAGAAGGTTAAAGACAAGGAAATGAAACGGCACATTTATAACAGCATGTGCACACTTATGCCCTAGGAAACATATCTTTAAATTTCATCGAAATTTCAGCCAACCTTTCTACACGAGATTATTTTTTAGTAGTGTGGTGTTCATTAAAAACAGTTTTTTTTTATGTTAATAAATAATCGTTGCATGCAGATTGAACTTTTTAACTTTAACCCGCCACAGTTGATTTTTACCAGAATTTGGCAGGTTGGCTGGTGTTAATTTCAAACCCTGGTTGTCTGGTTAAAATAGTAGTACACACTGTTGTTGTAGGTTAGTAACTGGCCATAGGGACTTACCCTCTGTCTGAAAGCCAAGGAGCTGCAGATTCCATGACCACATCATCTGCCTAAAAAAAAGTTTTCATTTTATTAAAGGAGTAGTTCAATTTCTTTTCGACTGAAGAAAGAAAGACATGGACATCTTGGATGACATGAGGGTGAGTAAATTATCAACAAAAGTTTTTTTTTTAAAGTGAACTACTTTATTATTATTAGGAATTATTCTGGTTTCCCCCATGTGAAAGTTCTGTCATGTTGTTCCAAACCAGTTAGAAAACCATTCACTTTCATTATATGCAAAAGACAACAACAGTGAATAATGACGGTTCCACTTCACGTGCCTGACATCTTCTTTTTTTGTTACACAGAAGAAAATAAGGCATACAGATATGGAACAACATGAGGTTGATGGTGATAACAGAATTTTTCATTTATTTATTTTTGCTGTGAACACTTCATTTAATACTTAACACATTCATAGTGCACCATACGAACATTATGTTATTAATTCTAGAGATGATCTACAGATTCAATAAATAAAGCAATAAACAATAAAATTGGCATTTAATCATAAAACTAACCTGTGACAATGAGGAGGGAGGAGGAAATTCATCCTGATATCGACCGAGAACGGAGTTTAAACGATTCACTGATAACACACAAAACAAAGTTCAAGTGATGATGAATATGTATGGGTAACTTATATGCACACTATTATTTCTGAGATCTAGCGTGTTTCACCTTGATCTCGTAGAAATTCGATTTCTGTTGTCATTTTTGCGTCTGCAACATAAATAAACTCTGTTAGGTCAAAACAAATGCCTTGTAAATATGTATCAACAACTACTATTATAACATATAGTGCAAAGGGAACAATTTCCCTGTCTGATGCAGTCGGTTTATAACGTTACACAGCCAGCACAAGTGATCCCCGGAGACTGTCTGTATGCAGGAATATTAGTTTATCGTTGAATTATCTGACTCTATAAAACATATTTAAGTTTAAATGAGTAAACGTACATTAGTAAACTAGATTAATACGAACGTACACGTTCTTCAATAGATTAAGCGAGTGAAAAGAAGCGAATCTGGGGTGTAATCTCAGCAACAGCTTTAAGCATCATTGGTATCCAGGTGGAGAGTTACACTCTGGCTAACTAGCGGGCTAACGGCTACAGATATTTCAACATGGGCTGGATACTTATACAAAACCTGAGATAAATTATAAATGTTTATTTTTTTTCTTCACGTAATATGCCGCATTATGAAATAGCAGTAAAACGTAAATAAATATAAGATTAGAAGACCTCGAAGTTATTTTGGTACCTGCAAATCCTTCCGCCTTGTAGTTTAAAGAGCCCACCAGCCAATCAGATTAATCTTCACCGACGCTCAGATTCACCCTCTGAGCCAATCAGACTCATCCTCAGGGACGCGGTGCAACTTATTAAAATGTTCCCGAGAAACTTCAACATTCTTGCGTTCCGTGTAGTTTCTGGAGTTCCTCTTTTTTCCATATTCTTGAAGAGCTAACAAGATGGGGCTACTCGATGTGATCGAATAGGGTAATATTTTACTTCATCACTTTGTTTCAATAATTCACTCTTTTATTTATCAACGATTATGTGCCTGACTACTGAAACGTCCTGATGTATGCCAGAAATCAGGAAGTGTTCTTCCCATGACATCAAGTCAAGTCAACTTTATTTATATAGCACTTTATACAATACAGATGGTTGCAAAGCAGCTTTACAGCGATAGACAGGGAAATAATAATCAATGATATACAAAGTTCAATTCAGCTATCAAAAACAGCTAAAAAAAAACCCCAATAGTGTCATTATTTAGCTCATATGTTCACTGTTGATTCAGTTTGTCAATTATGAAATAAAGCCAAATCAATATTCAAATCAGGCAGACAGCAACATAATCTCGGGCCATATCTGATACATGTGGATTGCACACGTACCAGATGTGGACCAGTTCTGGGCCGAAAATAAAGTGCCCCCAACTAAGCAAGCCTTCTTTTTTGGAAGAAACCAGGTTATGTCATCATGGGGCCAGTTCTCATCTAAATGAATGAACAGGGTGTAATCGGTGACGTCAATTGTTATGTGTATGATATCAGATGCATTGCTTATCAATGACTGTTGAACCTTATTGCATATATATCATACAGTCCTGTGTCCTAAGCAGCTTAAGACATAATACAGCACAGAACTGTGGATAAATCATATATTGACGCTTACAAATGTATATATATATTGAGAACTGAACAAAAGATAGTCATTTATTAATATTTCAGGGTTAGCTTTAGAAGAAAATAAGATTTTGCCATGCTTAACAGTGTCTGCAGTGGTTGTATCCTCCTGACTGCCATGGAGTTCTATATCAGACACACCTGGGACAGCGTACCTGTGGATCATAAGCCGGTAAAGATTCGCTTCTCACCTGGCGAGGAAGGTTTGTTAATGCAGGTGACTGCTCCTTTCTTCAATGACCCCCCTGCACCAGCCGGACCACCTGGAGAGCCGTTCCCTGGTCTCTGGGACTATGAGGGTATGTTCATATATACCGTTAGGCTCAAATCGAGTTTAGAGATTATGTTTCTTTCTTTCATAAGATTATATAACAGATTGTTGGAATCAACTGATCATTTTGCATATACGCATGCAACCTTTGACTGTCTAGACAAATACCAGATAAATAAAAGTCTGATTTAACTTTGGTGAGAAGTTGAATTAGAAGAAAGGTTTATGAAACACAAAGTTCAGATGTGTATCTTCTCCACAATATATAGTTTGTGCTGCTGATCTATTTTTCAGTGGTAGAATCCTTCTTCTTGAATAGCAACACTGAGCAATATCTAGAGGTGGAAGTCTGCCCGTAAGTTCAACCTACTCTATTTTTAAGGCCGCTGAACGTTTCTTCATTGATAATGTGTATTTGAAATAATATTTTGATATCATATTACAGACATGGACAACATCTTATTCTGCTACTGAATGGAAAACACAATGCGTTCATGGTAAGCAAATTCACACTGTACATTATTTTATTAAAGGGCTATTATGCTTTATCACTTTAAGTATGTAATGTTGCTGTTTGAGCATGAAAAAGATCTGCAAAGTTACAAAGCTCAAAGTCCACTCCAAAGGTAGATATTTTAATTTTATTGTTCACCACCCTTTAGGAAAATTGGTTTTGTCGATAATTTTTTTTTTGTATTACCATAGTTTTTCAACAAATATCATGATTAAATGGCGGATAACATCATATCTAAAATGTATAACAAAAAAAAAAAAACACTGTGAAATCCGTGCTTGCAAAGTCCATGCATGAAATCCGTTTTGCATAATTCTCATTGGTTAAAGAGGTCATCGGATGACGGATGTCCATTTTCCACAAGTGGGTATGATTCATGCGAAGTTTGTAACATACTTTGGTTAAAATTCCTCAAAAAACATTAAAACCAACCTCAGAAACAGATCTGTTCACACCGACCCGTTTCGGTGCATATCTCTTTAAATGATAATGTACATAGACGTACATATATATATATATATATATATATATATATATATATATATATACACACACAGAGATATATACTTTCTTATAAAAATTATTATTATAAAAACAGTAAATGTCTTAATATTAACACTTCAGAAATGCTTAACAAAATAAAATATAATAGCAAAAAATATATAGCGTATTATAAAATTGTCTGGATGTCATTTATAACCATTAGCTTGTTATCTGTTACAGCAACAACTCCCTATATCATTCCAAGCCGATATAAAGAACAAAAAATGGAAGGGAGAAGCACTTCTGCCTTGGAGGTATTTCCCTCAGGGCATTAATAAGATGAACTCCTACGCCATCCATGGCTCGGGTGCAGGAAGGACTTATGAGTCTCTGTATCCTGTTCCTAGAGAAGACCTGCAAGAAGGACAGGGACCAGACTTGTAAGTTTAGATATCTTAATATTATTTTGGTTTCATTATATTGCATAATTACATCACCATGATCTTAACATTTCTTCTTTCATCCGAACAGCCATCGACTTGAGTATTTCCAAAACTTCACTCTCCAAAGCATCATGGGAGAAGACTGGGTTCAGCCAGAATCTGACCTGTGGAATTTAGCAAGCAAATGACCAGCCCAAAATCACAAACCAAGTCTCATAACCAGCTTTTTAATACAGCAATTACTTGTAATTTGCTTCTATGGCTAAGTTAGAGCATAAACTCCACTGCAGTCTAATCAAAGTTAATGATGTGGCTTGTGTTATTGTGGGTGTAATGGCAATATAATGGCTTTTATTATCACAATTTAATAAATCTTTTTATCACTAATGCAGCACTAATCTCAGCAGTTAAGCATTCCATCCAGCACCAAGCATCTAGGCTATACAATATGTAGCGAATTGGAAATATGTTAATTTTTATACTGAAATGAAATTAATTTTTTTTAAAATGGAGATGCTAAATGTGGAAATAGAACATTAAATAAACAAATGATAACATTCAGCTTTGTTTGAGCTTGAAAACAACAGGTTGCATGGACTATCGCATTGCTGAAATATGGTAAAGAGTCTTCCTTACATAGAAAAATGAGTAGCTATAACTATCATTTCAGTATCACTACTCATTTCAGTAGGTCCTACCATTCACTAATCCTACCATTTTAGTAGGTCTGTTGCTATATTAAAATAGGTTTCGTGCAACTTTGAATACCTGACAGACTTGACAGTATCTGGAGTAGCCTAAATCGTATAACGTTAGCAATGACAGCCTCTTCAAAAAACAGCCGAGCTGTTAACTCTCTCAGCAAACCTATGCGTGTAATCAATAGGAGCTGCGTAAACTACAAATTAGCGGCTAATAAGGCGGAACAGGGGTTTATAATTACAGCCGCTGTCTGTTAAATGAATATTAACAGTGACTAATTACAGAGCCGCTGCTCTCGATCTGCCTGACCTCTGACTGGAGCGCGCACTGCGGGCGTGAGCTGAATGCGCGCTCCTGTCTGTAAGCAAGAGCGAAGGTCACGGCCAGACCGGATGTGGCACGCGCCTACTTGCAGCAAAGGGAGGAACAAGTAAAATGAGGACAAATAATATATAGGTTAATTTATTATTATTTCATTGTAATACTAGAACGCGGTAAGACAATAACTTTATAAGTCAATAACATTTAAAATATCGTCAGTGTCTGGCAGAAACCTTGTATAATCTCCGTAGTTCATCATGAATCATTACTACTGGTCAGCCTTTTCTTCTGTTTGTGGATTTTGCAAACATTAAAAAGCATTTTAAAATAGCTTGTGACAACCTAAAAATGATTATATTACACAATGTATTAATGTGTGAATTAATAAAAGTATTAATTATTTAAATATTTTGAGTAACATAAAAAACATCTGTTGGAAATCTAGGCACTCCAGGACACATTACTAATACATTTAGCCTAAATGAATAAATGGATAAAAATAGAAACCAATAGAAAGAATCACATCCATAGGCCGCACTCAAATTACACACACAGACTCGGAGTAATCGCATTTGTTCTCTCCACATGCAATCTATTCACTGGGGGAAATAGCAGAGTACAAATTGCTTCTTGTTAGGAGCAGAGCGAAGTCAATCAGATGGCCTTCCACTCATGTTTTTTAAATCAGGGAGAATTTATGCACTGACATTTTATAATTGATAGGAGGCTTGTTCAAAACTGAATGGGTAGATTGGGCACTGGCATGTTTTCAGTTGTATTTCTGCGAGTTGAACACCGTTAGCCGCACAGAAATGGAATTGATTTAATCGAATACACATTAGATACAACTCTGCATGCCGAAGGGAGGAGGGAATATTGTCACTTCCTTTAAAAAAAAAAGGAAAAAAAAGAGAATGAATCATGTTTGTCATTTGATTCCATTATATCCATAATGGACCTGTTTACCTGTCGCTTTTGCCTCTTCCATCCATTTGTCACAGGCAGGTAATATCTGCACTAAAATATTGATTCCCATCTATTCGAAAACACATTAACAAACAAATATTTTGAACACAGGGACCTGCAATAGTGTCTATGGCACCTTGTTTTTAATATGAGAGATAATTTTGATATATTTTTTTGTTTTGTTCATCACTAAAAAATATCAATCATTGCGCTCCGAGCTCCGAAAACGTGTTTCCATGGCAACAAAAGCTTTTCAGGATAAAAGGGGCTGTCAGGAAGAATATTTTCCTTTATAACTCAGTCATAATCATAAACATTAGTACAAGACACACTCTCTCACGCACGCACATCAGTGAAGCCCATTAAAGGCCACTATAAAAGGAGGCTTAAAAGTAAAGGATGACAAAGAACCACACTCGCAAAGTGGAGGTTATTTTTACAGATTTTAAGGGGAGGGGAAGATGATAAATCTGAGTTGGGAGGCAGTAATAAGAGAGGATGGCAGGCAACACAACATTATCAGGCTGTTTACGCTGTGTGGAAGTGCTGGAGGGGGGAGGGCCGTTGAGGAGAGCCTTTACCCGCACGACACCCTCTGATTGATAGTGGAATAAAGGTCGTTCCGTGTGATGAATGAATATTTCGATATAACCCAATCACGGTGCACAGGAAAACGAATGACTGGATGAGAACAAGATGAGCCGGTCCACTGAGGGCACGGCACGAGGGGCCAGCAGAGACACTAAATCACAAAATAACAGAATTGAACTTTATGTGGCCAGAAATGGGAGAGACGGGGTTGAAAATGTGACCTGGATACTCTCGGCTTTTCTGTCAATACTAAATCCATGAAGAAAGGGAAAGAGGCGGGGGAGAAGCAAGAGACGGAGCCAAGAGTCTTTTCCGCAAGACATTTAGAGGTCATGCTCTAAAGCGAACGCGGTAACTGTGGAGTTGTTCATAAAGTGGTTAACTCACAGTGAGATGTTTCGTCCGTGCGCGAGGGTCAGTTTGATGGAATATCAGCTCTCGTTTGTCTGAGAGCCACAGATGGCTGAGCTGAAGACAAATGCCGCAGTTAGACAGCCAAAACAACATTTTCGTCCTGATGTGCACAGCATTGTATTGATTAATATCACTGACAAAACAAACTAGCTGAAGAACGGTTACGCTCTGATGGGAAATGAAAAGCCTGCAAGGATGAGATAACTATCTGTGATTGCGCATTAGATTAGAGTCAAGTGACTCACTGAATCATTCAACTCAACCGATTCTTTCAAAGCACTTAGGTTGTGTCTAAAATAAATACAATATTTTTGGGGGGTTTTATTAAAAATAACGGTTACACTTTCAGTGCTACAATCCAGTGTGTTTATGAATCCAGTGTGTTTTGTACAGCTTAATGAATGCGGATGACACAGGATTCAATTGAAAAAAATGGTCATGGCGTTATGTTAAAAATACACAGTATTGAAAACACAGTGGACATTATCAAGTGTTCTCATTCAATCCCATAATGCACCTAAATAAAGAGAGCAAAAACTATACACTCAACAGCTACGTCTTGCAAGAAGACAGTGTCTGGCTGACTAAAATACGTTCACTCGTTGTTCTTCACTCATCCAGTGGAGTAACTAGGGAATGAGGAAATAGGGGTGATTTCGGATACAGCCCTTAAAGGAGAACTCTGGTCAATTTTAGTTCATTTATTTGTACATTTACAGACAAAAACGACAAAAATCGGTGTAGGCAACACCGATTTATGTAGTTTGTGTCTGTACTGACAGTACTCCAAATGTAGAAAAAAATGAGCTCAATGTTAAAATTAACCGGAGTTCTCCTTTAATTCAGAAACGAAACAAATATAAGGGAGTAATTGAATTATTCACTCAACCGAATAGTTCAAAAACACTGGGTTCATTCAGGAACACCATGACACACATACTAACTTGATGCTTTGGCTATTTTTGTTGGCAGAGCAAAAAACGACAAGGTAATTGGCAATATTGTGTCTAAAATGTAAATTACTTTACATTTACAATACAATACAATACAATAATACAATATTAAAAAGTAATAAACAGGATCACAATCATTATATCCTGGCATGTCTTGTTCTTAAATGTGGCAGATGGTCTTTGTTACTGCATGTATACATGAATATCTCTTGTGCAGATGACTCTAAAAAGATTTCAAATTAATTGTTAAGGTTTAATGGACTGAGATAATTATCCCACAAAACATTAAATAACCCTTTTGAAAAACATCAACAATGGAAAATCATCAATTAGTTGATCAAGTCTCATTGCTTAATTAACCGAAAATGAATGTCTAAGACATCTTTTACTTTTCTTAATTAAAAAACTCCACACAAACACAAAATAAGAGGCCATTATTTGTTTGTCAAAAACTGTCATGTGCTTAAGGCATCATGATGCGGGTGTCTGAACCTGGTAGAGAGAGGGGGGGGGGGTGTTGGGGGGATAGAGCTTTTCCTTATTATTGCTTTTCCTTAATCATTTGCTTCTTTATCTTCTGTGGTGATATCAGAATGCCACAGAGTAGATATGGGAGGCAAAAGATAAAACTGAAACGTCTCACTCCAGTTTACTCTATGCACTTTCTGCCAACAGAAATGTTCAACTGCATGTCCAATAGGATCATCTTCTGCACTCAGATTTAAGTCAGAAAAGCTCAGACATATCTGCGCACTTTTAGTCCTCTTTTCTTTTTGTGTCACTTTGCTTTCTGACACTGAACAATCTGTCTCACGGCATGAGTTTTTCAGCATTATCCAATTATCTAAGAGGTAAGGCATGTACCGCTCAGGTTGCTACCTTGACAAAATCAATAAGTATCCGTAATGTCTAATCCTACTGTCTTCTGAGCACACTGTGATCCTCGGTAAAGAGAAGAAATAAAGTTCATTTCGACTCTGTGACTCAAAACATAAGGTTTTTTTTATAGAGTATGCTGAAATTATTCAGTGTTATGAACACAACACATGGAGGAAGTAATGGGCCATTACAGGAAAAAGAAATGTCCATTTACACAGTACAAATGATGGGAAAGGTCCATGCACTGCTGGCATCTTACACACCAGCCCATTCTCACCCCCAAGGCATCACTTAACTGACGCCTTGGGAAGCATTTGGACATGCTTCAATATCTTCAATAAAGGGCGCCTAAAACGTCAAATATTGAAGCACAGCCCATTCTCACTCCCAAGGCGTCACCTAACTGACGCCTTGGGAAGCATTTGGACATGCTTCAATATCTGACGCTTTAGGCGCCCTTTAGCGTCAGTTAGATGACGCCCTAGGATCGCGTGTACCCTACCCCCACCCCACACCTAAACCTAACCGCGTCCTCTAACTGACGCTTTCCTTTAGCGTCAGTTAGATGACGCCGTAGGATCGCGTCATGTAAGTGACGCTAAAGGGCGCCTAAAACGTTAAATATTGAAGCATGGTCAAAGGTGACGCCTTGGGGTGAGAATGCGTTGTACACACATAGGGTATACTTTATAGTCTCATTCCAAGACGTCATATAACTGACGTCTTGGGATGTCT